AAAAGAGAAAACAATTTATTTAAAAAATTCAAACTTTCTATTTAAAAAGATGCGTTAAAAATCAAAATCAACTGTGAGCTTAAGAAAAATTAATTTCCGATTATATTTCTGTCTTTAAATAATCTTTGTAATTGAAATTTTTTTATATGTTCAAATTCATCGAAGATATTTAAGTATTTTGTTTTTGAGGTAATCCATCTTGTATAACGCATCCTAGATCAAACTCAATTATCATACATTATCAATCTGTCATATTATTATTGGATTGCTTTTTCTATTTTTCAGAAGCGGAACGTGCGAGAGATTCGCTGAACGGTCGTTATTTCGGCGGACGGCTCGTTAAGGGAGAATTATATGATCAAGCCCTGTTTGACAATAGTGATTTTTCTGGTTGATGCGCGGAAATGCTCTCATACTTTCTATATACTATAAATTTTTATTAAATTCGCGTCGAAGGAAGATTAAATTTAATTTTGACTGACAGCTTGATCTTCGTTATTTAAGCTATTATTTATAAGATTTTAGAGTCACATGAGTTGAGTCAAAAAGTATTTGGTCAGGTATTTGCGATATCATAGTTCTAATGATAAGTTCTACAGTAATTAAGTTACAGAAATGAATGTAATATACAAGAATTTGGTAGCATAGCTGGAACATTTAAGTTAATCAAATGTGATTCAAAATATTTCGTATATTCAACTTTGTTTTTCTTTATAAAATTTATCACAATCACAACTGCAATTGCAAGTTAGAATCAGCATCAAGAAATAAAATAATAGATAATGTATCAATCTACCTATCCAATATATATAGTACCTTCGTTATAATTTCATTAAGAATGAGATTGTGTATGAAAGTGATAGATTTTAATTTACATGTATAGAAAAAAGTTAGAATATTAATAAATTGTTTTACATATATAATATTTACAAGATAATTTATTTAAGGAGAATAATTAGTAACATTCAAACTTTAAATCTACATAAAATCTGTAATCTATGTTGAAAAACAAAATTTGTCTAAAATACTTGAATACTCGAAACTATTGCAAAGTTCAAATATTTTATTGCATAAATAAATTCCTCTAAAAGAAATAGACTTTCCTTTAAATTTTGCTAGTGGCATGTTGATTATTTGTATGCATCTTTTGGTACATAACTATTACCAGCATTTTTATACTCTTCATAGACTGGAAAATTTTCAGGATTAGCTGTTTGGGAAGTAGATGGAGCGAGATCTTGAGAGTCTTCATTTTTCGGTTGGTTCCCTGTTAAAAGTTTCGCGGCATTCTTTTTCTTGGTGATTGCTAATTGATAATTGGCTTCTATTTCTTCTCGCGTAGGCGGATCTTTTCTGCGGTATCTCAACCAGGACTCCCATTCCGCAGGCAGTTCCTGTTCAAAATCATCTTTGTTTACTGGAACGAAATACCGTGGAGGTATTTTCCGAGCGGAATAGCGAATCTCTTCCTCGTAATACTTCGTGCCATAATAATCTTCGCCCATCAGTTTGCGACGAAAGTACTTCGGCTTAAACGAAGACACAAATCTGTTCCAAAGTATTTTCAGCACACCTCGTTCTTTAGCCATATTGTACTGCGTAAAAGAAAGAGAACAATTCTATACGTATAAAATACATTAAAATTACTGAATAATTAAATTAAATGAGAAAATCGCTATAAGAACGCTAGTTAGTTTCATAACAATTCATAATCTCAAGACAGTGTCATTTGAAGATTTTGAGTAGAATAGTACAGATTTTCCTAAAACATAAATTATAACTTCACGCGCGACTTGTAGTTGATCTATAACTTCAATAATATTCCTCTAATAATTTAAATTAATTATAAATAGAATCACACACCGTTCGTTATATGTACACACAAATTACAGGACCGTGATTTGCTTCTTAGGTTAGAATTCCATCCTCACTTTACGATCCGCGCCTTGAATTCTGGTAACTTTTGAGACGAGCTTGATAGTTTTTTGTTTAATTAGATTGGCAGCGCCGAGAGACTTAATTTCCGCTGATTCGCGGAAGACACAAAATGACAGCGCGCTGCCACGTCCGAAGCACCGACCAAGTAATATTCAAGTTCAACAAGCTTATGAAAGTTTCTCGGCTATTAAAATAATAAACGGTTAGCTCATAATATAATATTAACTTTATTAATTTATCATCATCCTAATGTCATAGACATGTATGTACATTCATGATTTAATAATATTTGATTTCACTTGAAGCTACACTTTTATCAGACCTATTCTTTTTAATTAAACTTCTTGCACAGTTCATCTTTTTTCTCCAACACAGAAAGAAAAATAGGAAAAATAAAATCCGTACAAAAAGTTTCGTTCAATTTAAAAGAACAGGATTTTTCTTTCCGTATTGAAAAAAAAGAGAAAACAAATAAACAGTATAAGAAGTTTAGCTCAAAAAAAAAAGAAAAAAAATAGGTTTATTGTTATTCCAGCGAGCACGGCACTGGCCCACTCGATACGTCACTTCCAGGCGTGGTGGAGCGCGTCTTGTGCACGCATGAAAGGCCCGCGCAGGCTCGCGCGCGCGTGCGCGCGCGCGTGCGTGCGTGCGTGCATGCGTGTGTGAGCGTAGTCGTCGCGAGCGTGGTGGTAGGCAGTAGGCTGAAAATGGCCGTGTACGCGTACAGCTCCGCCACAGAGTTTACCGATCCCCGCGAGAGATAACTCCCGTGCGGATCGCGACGGAACGTAGTCACACACGCGCGTGTGTAAATAGTGCACCGTGTTCCGTCTGTGTTGTTTTTTTTTTCTCTCTTTCTCTCCCTGTTCCTTCCAGCTCCGCGAAATGAGACGCGCAGCGTCAACCAGATAGCGGCTACATTCCGGCGGATTTTGCAGCGACCGAGCGCGCAGGAGGGGGAGGAAAGTAATTGTCGTGTCCAGGATCCCCCGGGGGACCAGAGCATCCTGTCACCGATCGCAGGTAAGCGAGGAGCGACGATGTCGGGAGTGAGGGCAAGGACGTTCGTCGATGAGAAATGTTCTCGGTACCTCGTCGACGAACGATGGACGGGACGGGTCGCTCGTCCGTCGTGAAGTTACACACAGACGTTGCCGTCTCGGCGGGGTCTCGCCTGAAGTAAGCGCGACACGGTGCCTCTTTCTCTATCTCTTTTTCGTTTTCTCTCTCTTTCTCTCTACTTGCAATCGGGATGTAGGTGCACCTCCCTACACTTTCTACGTAATGAAGTCATCTACGTTCGTGCGCGGATGACGAGGGGAAAG